AGAAAGCGTTAAGAAAAATAACACTGCATTAAGAAAAAAAGACACTGCAGCTTGCTAAGAGAAAAATTTAGAAGGCGTTAAGAAAAATAGCCATTTTATCAATCCTGTAAAACCATTCAGGAGGTATGGATTGTGATTGTAAATATATTTGGAAAAAGAAATTGTAGAAGTCTTGGTTTGGTATTTCCCCCTTTTCTTCCCTGGACTTCTCATGCCATTTCTCAGTTTGCAATGGAAGAAGAAACCTTTGCAAAAACACCCATGGCCCTGCCTGCATCTTTCACTAGGGGAAAGGTGGTAGAGCTTTTCTTGGAGTTGTTCATTCCCAAAAGGGTCTGGATGCTTTAATTTGGAGCATTTGTTTTTGAGCTGTAGTGTCAGATGGCTTAGAGCCCCCCAAAACAGTTCAGTTGCTGGCCCCTTTACTGTTAACATCTTTATGCCTCTCACCTTGTCCTTCCCGTAGAGAAGTGGGTAAGCAGATTGCCGGATGGTGTCTCCAGACCCCAGAGCTCTGCTCTGCGGTAGATGTATCCAGTCTTTGTAGGTGATTTTATTAAAATTGAGAGAAGAGTTCTGTGGCTGTCCCTTTTCCAGTAGAGGCACAGGTGCCTTTGGTAATTATGGGCTGGAGGACATGCGGCAGCGCATGCTCTGGTCATCATCCGTGCTGAGGAAATCTGGAGATGTCCATGGTTGCTTGCTTCCCCAGCAGTTAACAGCAGAGCTGTTCTTTCTGGCTGAGGTTTTCTGGTCTTTTGCGACATCGCCATTGCCCTGTCTTGTGGCACTGCTTCCTCATCTCACGTTCTGATCATCAGTCTTTTTGTCCTCTTCCTTGCTCTTTTTTTTTTTTTCACATCCTGTCTCTCCCAGTTTATCAAGAGGAAACAGTTGGTTGCAACCAGAACTCTCCTTTTTCTCTGCCTGCATTGTAGAGTGTTACAAAAAACTGATTGTTCCTTACTGTGTTTGGTTTTGTTAAACCTCGGCTGTGTTCTAGAAACATTCTGAGTAGCAGATTTGAAAACAGTGAATGTTTATTTTAGGTAGCATGCACCAAATAATGGAACTCATTGCTGAAACAATGTGAGTTACAGAAAACTATCTGTATCATTTTCAAGAGATGGAGAAATCTGTAAGATTATTTTATTTGATGAGATACTCTAGTAGGATCTTTCCTTAAACTCCACAGCTAATCCTTTCTTGCTATTTCTACATATATTTTTATTGATATAAGGTAAATTTATTTTGAATAGAAGTTTGCTGTAAGCCTTAATTATTTTAATTTGAATACAAAACAAATTACACTTTAGGTCACAAAATTCTAAAACAGTAGAAAATTTATCTATCCTGCAAGTTTGGCAAATAATGACAAAGGCAGATGTGTAATAACCACATGGTTTCTCTTCTGGTAACATTAAAACCACAGGTTACATCCTTTGGTATATATATTCAAAGTTTCTCCTTTAATAGAATGGTAAAGTCTGTAAGTATCCACTGAGACCTTCTCCTCCCACGACCTGTTCTGATTACTTTGAAAGCTGTGATTTAAACCCTAGTTCTAGTCTAACCAGGTCAAGTTTTAACTTAAACTAGGGGGAACATCATTTGATTCACATTAGAAACAAATCTAATGTGCAAGCCTACTTAGTGGTTTTAGAACCATGATTTAGTAATCTCTTCTTAAATATAAATGCACTTTACTTAATATTCTATATGCCTTTTCCTCAAATATAGGAATCTCAGCCTGAGTCTATACAGTAAAAACATCACTCCTGTTGGGAATGATTTTTTTTTTTTTTTTTAAGAGACTTAAAAGCCTGAAGAACTCCTCATTATTGGAAAGGAGGAAGGCAGGTCCTGGTTACCAGAGGCAGAAAGTTTAGCAACACTGTTGCATTTGGTAACAGGAAGAGTCCGATTGATCATGCCTGGTGAGCTTAGCTACCTAGCCGGGGAGGTCGCCATTCAGTGCTGAAGGTACCATGTGGTTTCTTCTTGCCCTTTTTTTTTTTTTTTTTAGATTGATTTATTAGCGCACACAAGCAGGAGGAATAGCAGGTAGAGAGAGGAGGAGATAGTCTCCCCACTGAGCAGGGATCCCAATTAAGGGCTCGATCCCTGGGATCATGACCTGAGCTAGAAAGAGTAACCAAGAGGACTGTTTAACAAAAAGGAACCAGGACCAGGAGGTTTGAAAATAATCACCCTCCAGAGAGGCAAAAGATGCTGAAGTTAAGAGATGACTTTTGAGAGAAGTTCACATTCATTGTGAGTTTTCTTAGCATTGGTTTCCTCTCTTACCTGGTAGAAAATAATGTTTATCTGTGAGTATTACTATTTTTTTTTTAATAAAGGTTTATTTATTTGAGAGAGAAACATGCATGCACAAGCAGGTGTGAGCAGGGGGTGGGGCAGGGGGGCCATGGGGCTCGATCCCAGGACTTTGGTATCATGACCTGAGCCAAAGGCAGACACTTTACTGACTGAGCCACAGGTGCCCCTGTGTGAATGTTATTTGATATTAATGTTGACTTGAAGCTAGGGAAATGGCGGGGGGGGGGGGGGGGGCTTGTATTTCTTCCTCACAAGTATAAACTCTTTGAGACTAGGTCATTTCATGAATTTGAGGTGCAACCATACAAAACCATACCTAAAGAAACCTAGAAAAAGGAGGCCCCAATATACCTTACTAAGTAAGGTCCTGGGAGCTCTACCAAAACCAAAAGAGAAGAATTAGGGCTAAATCTTCCCAGACCAGTGCTTTTTGGCTCACCTGGAAGGAAATTGCTTAGAGAACCAAAGATGCTAGGTACCAACAGCTGTTTCAGAAAGAATAAATAGAAAACTTGTAGGTGTCTGAACACTGGCTGCAGAAAAAGAGTATTATATGCGTGTAGTGTTTGAATCTGTGAGACATCTTCCCAGCTTCATAATCTCAACCTTTTGGCATGAATCATCACATTTCTTTGGTAGGTGGTTATAGAAGTTAGATAGTTGGGCAGTAACCAAAGCTATTCATTGTGGGGAAGCCATGAAATATATTGGCTTATCAAAAAAATTCTGTTTTTAAGTTAGTTTTTCCTCCTAAATAATAATAAAACATTCCTAAAGTTATGAACGTATGAAGCAGGGTTCCTCAGCTTTAGTGCTATTGGCACTTTGGACTGCCAAAATGTGGAGAGCTATCCTGGACATTTGTGGAATACTTAGCAACCTTTGCTTCTCTTCTGAGATGCCAGCAGCACCCTACCACTACCAGCCGGTTGTGGGAACCAAGAATATCTCCAGACAGTGCCACATGTCCCCTCCGAGGCACAAATCACCTCCTATTGAAAACCACTGATACAAAGGACATAAAGGAGATACAAAGGATACAAAGGAGAAAAGTAACTAGAAAGGGGAGGAAAAAGTAGAATAATTGTCCCCACGTCCCTATTTTTTACCTAAGTAATTCTGGATCTGTGTTCTGCCTTAAAAAGATAATACAAGTATAAAATAATTATAAATTAAAAGGATGTACCAGTTTGGGTTTGAAAATTGGAATTTTTGCTTTGGGAAAAAAATATAGTAGGTGTTTCCTTCAACAGTAAGCAAATACCTTAGGTATATGAAATTAACACCTCATGTGTCAAATTAGGAAATCTGAAGTGACTAGTTGTATAACCAGGAAAGAACCCACATTTTTTAATGTCCAACCCAGGGAATATTTTTATTAGAGTTCCAGTTTATATAACCCCCAAGTAATCATGGTTATCAGCTGGGGAATTTTGATTTTTATTTTTTACTTATATATTTTTAAAAATATTTATTTGAGAGGGAGAGAAAGAATCTCAAGCAGATTCCCTGCTGGGTGCAGAAGTCCAATGCTGGGCTCTATCCCAGGACCCTAAGATCATGACCTGAGCTGAAATCAAGAGCTGGAAGCCTAACCAGCTAAGCCACCCAGGCGTCCTGTGCTGGGGAACTTTAAAAAAATAGATAAATAAACTTTTGGCTCTCTCGGAGTTTTTGAGGCTGATGATATGTTTGGAAGCCATTGTACCTGACCGCATTGCCATTCATTCATTTATCTTAACTGTAATTGTAAATTATGTGTAATGGTTTTCAGGTAGAATTGAATCTTAAAATTGAGGTCATATTGCCAACTCTTGATCTTCGTGTTCATTGATAAAGAAGGGAAGGAAGGGAGGACAGGAGGGAGAAAAAGAGAAAGGGAGATGTATGTGTGTGATTGTTTTCCAAGGGATGGTGGACAACAACCTTTTACCCTGAGCAGGGGCATAAATGGCTACTTTTAATAACTAGTTACAAGATGTTAAAGTGACTTCTGCCTATTCGCTCATGTGACTCACATCTCAGTAGACGTTTTCTGAAATGGTTTAAAAGAGCAAAGGTAAGAATATTGACTGTTTTGTAAAAAGCCCTGCACACCCCAGAAAGCACAATGTTAATGAAACTGACAAGGTGGATGGCTCCTGGAGGCAAGTTAGGTTTCTATTCCTGTGTTACAGAAAAGGTGCTGAGGTGTGTGATGAAACCAGGCAAAGGGCTATGAGGGTATTTTGAGCTTATAGGGTATTTTAGAATGAAATTGACCATCCCTGGGGTAGCCAGTTCTCCTCTAGCCTTGTAAGGCAATCTGTGGTATCAGATATAGGAAATTCTGCTTATTAAATGAATTGAGGATTATTATTACAATGGGCAGTGCATTTATTTATAAAAACTCCTAAAACATAATAAGAGATTTATTGCCTCTACTATACTTGTATTTCCCTCATACCGCAGTGTTGTCTCAGGAATTTAAAATGAATAAGAATGCTATGCATTTTCCAATAAAATTAACTTTTATAAATCTCAATTTAAATAATTATATTATTCATCCTTTGAATTTTACTTCAAAATACATATTTGGCTAACATAGCTCTTTATAAGGTTTTCTAATGTTAATGATGGTTTCTTACAATTGTCCATTTTACTTTTTGAATCTCTTACAGTGCCAGTACCAACCAATATTAACATTAAGGCCTATAACTTTAATACTGTCCTATATTGGGACTACCCAACCATGCCACAGACCCCTGTTTTTACTGTACAGGTAAAGACCTATGGGTAAGTTCTACTCTTTCATCTTTTTTATTCTGTTTTTGTCTAGGTCTCTTTACTTTCCATAACTCTGTGGAGTTTGCTTTCCTTTCCCATCATCTTTCCTTTCCCATGTGGCAGGACTTCTTAAACTGCTTGTAGATTTCCAGAAGTGCTGAGGAGGCAAATTAATTATTTTCAGAGTACTTCCTGCCTCTTAGTTCTTCTTCCTGTCATAATTGAAGTAGGGGAGTCTCACTAACTTTTAAGACTTTTAAAGATCTGTTTATTTGAGAGAGTGCATGTGTGTATGCTAGCGGGTAGGGGGAGGGTGGTAATCAAGGGAGGGGGAGAGAAAGAGAATTCTCCAGCCGACTTCCCACTGAGCAGGCAGCCCGACAGGGGACTCAATCCCAGGACCCTGAAATCATGACCTGCATCCAGATCAAGAGTCAGATGCTGAACTGACGGAGCCACCCAGGCAGCCCAGGAATTAGAGATTTTTTTTTTTTTAAGGCATGACAAATAAAGCTTACAATTCTGTATTAAAAGTAATGATGCCAGGCGCCTGGATGGTTCAGTTGGTTGGGTATCTGACTCTTCATTTTGGCTCAGGTCGTGGTCTCAGGGTCCTGGGATCCAGCCACACGTTGGGCTCTGTGCTCAGCATGGAGTTTGCTTGTCCTTTTTCCACTGTTCCTACCCCGACTCTCTCTCTCCCAAAACAAAATCTTTAAAAAAAAAATGATGTCCTCTTACTTTCCATAGTGAATGTATTGTTGAGTAGAAAGAAAAAATCTTCAAAATATTTCTGACAAGTGTCAGGAGTCTTTGCAATGTGTTCAATTCTGCAGTCGAGTAATGATTATTTATGTTAATAGAATCCAGAGTTATTTAAAGATCAGATTTTTAAAAATTGTATGGGGAATGTACTTTGTTCAAGTGTTGTATTTTGAATTGAGCCTCTTTATTGTAAAGGAATTTCTAGTACTTCTAACCAGAGTAAGGACTTCCTACTTTGTCTGGCTTCTCCAGCCTATTGTTCAGCTCTTTCTACCAGTCCCATGCTGTAAATGAAAAAAGTGAAGTAGAAACAGAGATGATTCGAGTTTATACATTAACGGTAAAAGTTACCATTGTGCTTCTTTATTCCTCTTCGTTGTAGGGAAGCAATATGGATTGATGCCTGCAATACCTCTCAGCACTTTTGTAATATCTTTTCCGTAATTAATGATCCATCACTTTCTCTCTGGGCCAGAATTAAAGCTAGGCTTGGACAAAAAGAATCAGCCTATGTAGAGTCAAAAGAATTTATTCTGTGTAAACAAGGTGAGTAGAGCTTTTAAATTTGAAATTTTAAGTTGGAAAATACTTACACATATCTTCTGTATATGTTTGCTTTTATTAGCACTTGCTAAAAATTATCACAATGCCCAAGAAACTTTTGGAGGAATTTAGGGACTCTGTGTCTTATTCTTTCGCTGAGCCTCACAAAGTAGGGCTATGAGGTGCCCATCACTTTTGCCCCTTCTAAACCATTACAGTTCCACTCCCTACAAGCACGGATTGGTGCTGCCTAGGTGGACTCTGTGCCGGCCTTCCCCTTGCACCGCTCCCCCGTCAGCTCCATCACTTGCTGCTGAGCTATGCGCAATGAGGACAGCTCTCCTTCTTCCACCCTCTGCCTGGTCCCGAAGGCCTCAGCTTAATACATTAACAAATTTTAGATTTCTATAATCCCCTCAACCTAGTGATTTTTTAGCCCTTTCTCCTGCCAGCAGCGCATTCCTACAGTATACCTGATCTTATTTATCACCTCAGGCTCCAAAATCATCATGGCCAGTTCTTCTGTGACTGAAATCCTGCCTTGTAGTCCTCATAGCCTCACTCCCGGGTGAAGAAGCAGTTAGTCCCTTGACTCCTCCCTTTTGTTCTAGGCCTTGTGCCTTGCCATCCACCTCTACTTCCTTCCTTGTTCAGCCTCCATATGTGGTTTCTTCCACCACAGCCTGGCTTCTCCTGCTCTTCAGATAGTTGCCTATTCCAGGCCCTTCCTCTGCTTGCCCTTGAAATAGTTTTATGCCCGAGTCCATGCCTTTGTCATCTGTTAACTGCACCATCTGTATGTCGGATTTTTCCCCATACAGATTTATCAAGGGCATACTGTGTGCTTGGAAGTACACCAAGCTCTGAGGGTAAATTAGCAAATAAAAATAGGTCTGCCTGGCATGTAGTGGGCAGTAAAAACGTGAAGAATAGGCAAACAGTTCACCAACAAAGTCTCAAGCATGAGTGACACATAATAAATATTTGTTGAATGAATGAATATCTGGTTTTGATTTTCACCATAAAAATTCAGTGTATTTAGCAAACTTTCATTAAGAGCTTTCATGCCAGCCATCCGTAAGCATTGGTGATGTGGAGAGTTTCAGTGAGTGTTCAAAGGTAACTGAAATGCCTTTTCTGAAACATTTTTTAGAAAATAGGTTTTCTTTTTAATAAGCAGACCCACAGAAAAAGGAGAAAAACTTAATAGAGCTTCTGTTACGTGAAGGTTTTTTAACAGGATTCATGACCTAAGTGTTGACTTTTAGCACTGGAAGTGCATTTAAGCTGTTAAAGGAGAGCTTCTATTAGATAAAAATATGTCCTGCTTGAGATTAATTTAATATTTCTTTATTAAGGACATTTAGAATATCTTCTAGATATTTGTGGAATGGTTTAAACATGGAACTGCCTTAGGACAACTGAAAGAGTATGTTAACTGATTGATTTGGACAGTTTTGTGTAATGTACTATAAAGTTCCAGGGCGCTGCTGATTCTCCTTTTTTTGTGTGTCCCTCCCACCCCGCCACAGGGAACATTGGACCACCTGCAGTGGGTATCAGAAAGAGGGAAAACCAAATCATCATTGACATATTTCACCCTTTAGTTAATATAAGTGAAAGAGAGCCAGTACCCATATATGATGAAAATCTTTGTCACATGTTTACGTACACTGTGTATTTAAGAATAAATGGAAGTAAGGTAGGTGTTTCTATTTCCTTTATTCTGTTCTGTTTTTCTGTTGCTAGTATAAGTTGTTTCTATCTATAGTATAATTAAAGTGAAATGCTTATGAACACTCAGGCAAGGCTTACGTGACTTCAGTTTTGGTAAGAAAAAAACCACATAAATAAATGTTGAGGGGAGTTGCTGTTGGAGTTAATTACTAATGTTGGGCAGGTGAATACATTTAAATTTTGCCTTGGCCTCATTTAGCAGCATGGCCCTATTTTAGGATTTTAAATCTGTTTATTCCTATTTCTCCACTGGTAAGACGAAGATGATTTTAATATTTTCTTCCTCATGGGTAGTGATGTAAAATAATAGGAAGCTATAATTGGAATCCTTGTTTTTGAAAGAGAAGTTAGTGGTTCTGCTGTGGGGATATATTGCCTTCTGGCGCTGATGTACAGACCACACTTGGATTGGAATGACTCTAATCTATCCCTTCTCCGCAGCGCTGCCGTTGCTTTATTAAATAGTATTTGTCAGGCGCATGCGCTGTGTGTCCCTGGGACTAGCAGACAGCAGTGAGCAGTACAGACCCTGCTCCAGTGCTTCGTGGGATGGAGAAAAACAGAGCAGAGAGAGGGGAATGGGCAGTGGAGTTTGGGCAGTAGTGATCTTCAGTAGTATGGTCAGAGCAAGGAAGGTGTTACTGGAGCCAGGTCTGGAGGGTTCTAGGAAGTGAGCTTCATGGATCTAGATGGGGAGAGTGTTTTAGGCAAAGAATCTGGCAGAAGCATGCTAGGCAGAGTGCAGGCACAGATGAGGTCAGAGGTCACCAGGGCCACATCTCTTGGGGCACTGGAGAGATTTGACGTTATGCTGATGAAGGTGTTAGGTCTCTGGAAGGATTTTAGCAGGAAGAGCGACATCTGACTTAGATTTTAAAACATCACTCTGGATGCTTAGCAGAGTCATTCTTCTCAGGTACACATCTACCCTTCCTTCACTCCTTAAAATCTTTTCGCAAATCTCTAAGAGCTACAAAATCATATCTAAATTCCCTTCCATGGCATGGCCTACCAGACTGTTGTGATTAGGCCGCTTGTGTCCTTTCAGCTTCCTCTCCCCTTTTTTTCCAACCTAAGTTTTATTTATGCTGTGGTGAGCTGCTTTTGGTTCTTTGTTCCCTGCAGGTACCATGCTATTTCACAGAATGTCCTCTCCACCTTCTTAACTTGGGCAAATTTCTGCTCATTCTTCTATTGAGCAGGCGTTTCATCTCCCCTTTGAATTCTCTTCTGACACCATAGACTCTTCGCACCCCTGTGGTTTGATCATTCCTAGTTCCGTGTGATAGCCCCCTTGCAGGACTCCTGGCTCACATTTCTTTCTGCTCTGGGGGACGTTGTTTGAGGTCCGGCACCACTGTCCTACCTTCACGTGTTCAGGCACTCCCTGGCACAGAGGATGCATATCCTTTGGCTGGTTGGATGAATGACAAACTGTCAGAGACTGCCTCTGTCCCTTCAGTGTACTACTACGAGGAGATGCCATGATCTTGGCAGAATCCCTTTCATATTCTTCCTTACGGGTGCTTTTATCTCTCATCAGCTAAGTTTCTAGCACTATTAGAACAAGACTAATGACTACTGGTTGCTTTAACAACTAACAATGAACATTCCTGCTATTTGAGTTTTTAAATCTGTAATCCCTACAAAGCACATTTTAATGAATATGTAGCATAATGCTGTGTTAAAATAACAAATTGACTTCTTATTTGATATCAACACTGTTTGCAGACATTTTCAACTTTGACCAATAGGTTTCCTTCAGGTGTTTGATCAGGATAAAAATGGTGCTTTTTGGGGTCTGGTTTTGTTTTTGCAGAATAAAAGAAGCCATACATTTTCATTGTTGTTGTTTTCCCCATACAGATTCCGTATCCGATGTCAGTAGAGAATGAAGATGATTGCAATGAGACTCAGTGCCACCTCATTATCCCAGGTTCCTCTCTGAGTTCGGACTACTGTATTTCAGCAGAAGGGTTCTCAAAAGATTGGTCTGTTAAAACTGAGATGTCTGATGAACTTTGTATTACCACTTCTGATGATAACCACATAGAAGGCAAGTTTCTGCCGTTTTTTCCTAAATATAGGGAAGGCTAACAGAACTAGAGTAATTGAGAAGAGTTTCAGTAAATCTCTGTTCTTTAAAAAAATATTCAGTGGTTGCATTTCTCAAAGAATTCCAAAAGCAAAAATAAGCTCATTTCTGAGGCATTAAGAGATCTAAAACAACCAATTTGGAAAGCTGTGTCATGACCCAGAGAAGAAACAAACATAATATCTAAAATTCCATGCATAGATGTCTGCATTTCAGGATTACACATAGTGATATAAAGCAACTTATTTCAGTATAGCAAGATGTTATGTATCCATTAGAATGTTCTCTGTTGGAGTGGTGAGTTTAAAAACTGAATAGCAGAAATATTCATTGACATGTGTGATGTGAACTGGACAAACACTGGAAATTAGTATCTGAAAATAAATGTTGATAGGTTATGGGTCATTTTTATAACACTTAAAAATACTTTTATTTCATTATCTTTTCTTTGTGTGTGTGTGGTGGGGTGCGTACATATGATAGAACTTTAGAACTGGTATTTTCAAGTGGCAGGCACCTTAACAAAAATTTGACCTATTCTTGGCACTTAACGAAATTTAAATGTCATTATAGATAATTTATAAAATATAAAAGTCTAGAAGAAAACAAAATTGGGGCACCTGGGTGGTTCAGTGGGTTAAAGCTTCTGCCTTCAGCTCGGGTCATGATCCCAGGGTCCTGGGATTGAGCCCCCACATTGGGCTCTCTGCTCAGGAGGGAGCCTGCTTCCTCCTCTCTCTTTGCTTGCCTCTCTGTCTACTTGTAATCTCTATCTGTCAAATAAATAAAATCTTTAAAAAAAAAGAAAAAAAGAAACCAAAATTATCTGTAGTTTTGCCATCCAAATATCTTGTTATAATTTGGTGTTTTTTTTTTTTTTTCCTCATTCTGTTCTCTTTTTCTACATAGCCATGATCGTATTATATAGTATATAAAATTTTATGTAATGCTTTAAGTATATATTTTAAAATATTTTTCCATTTTAATTCATATACTTTATTAATATTGTTTTTTAATCTCTGCAGACTATTTCATTGTGTAGAATTTGTATTCTATTTAATGTTCCCCAATTTGGGACTTCTAGATTACTTATGATTTTCTCTATGATAGCATGCGTTGATAACTTTGTGTATAGTATATTTTCCAATTAGGCTGTTTTTATAATATATTTTATTTTTGTTTATTTTGAAGATTTATTTATTTATTTTAGAGAGAGAGAGATGAGAGCATGAATGGGAGGGGTAGCAGAGAGGGAGAGAGAATCTCAAGCAGACTCCACGCTGAGCATGGAGCCTGAAGCAGGGCTCTATCTCCTAACCCTGAGATCGAGACCTGAGCTAAAACCAAGAGTCGGATCCTTAACCGACTGGACCCCCCAGATGCCTCCCAAAATTTTATGATACAGATATCTTCTTTTTTTTGTTATGTTTGTTTGTTTGTTTGTTTGTTTTAAAGATTTTATTTATTTGCCAGAGAGAGAGAGTGTGCAAGCAGGAGGACAAGCAGGCTCCCTGCTGAGTAGGGACTGGGACTCAGTCCCAGGACACTGGGATCATGACCGGAGCTGAAGGCAGATGCTTTGTTGACTGAGCCACCCAGGCGTCCCTACAAATATCTTCTGGATGAATGGGAATCTAGGCTGAAGAATTAGACCAAATGCCTAAAACTTAATAACTTTTAGGCTGTTATTATGAGGGTTTCAAATAGTTTGTGACTTAAAGTAATGCAGTGCATTTTATGCCAACTCGCTATTGGGTTATTTTGAAAAAATAAAATCCTAGTTAATACGTAAAATTTGAAATTATGCAGATGCCCCAGATTTTTTTTTTTTCTTCCAAGTCTGAATTACAAACTGGGCTGGTTCTGTGGCCACGTGGTGGCAGCCCTGAGGCTCAGGAGCAGCATTCCCTGCCCCCACACACCCTGCTTCTCATCACAGTGATTGTATCTTTACTGTCGCAGTAACTTCATGTTTTTCTGCATCCTGTAAGAGCTGTTACACACGGGCTCATTTAGTCATCATTTCCAGAGTGACTATTCCAAAAAAGTAACTTTGGAATAGAAATGAAAGGTAATGAAATGCCAGTAAGGAGGCTAAACACCAACATGATAATTTGGAAGAGAGGACTGTGAAAATAGAATACTGAAGATTGTGCTTTGAAAATAAAAAGCAAAATTAGAGCTATAGTGATTAATCACACTGTAGTGATTATAGATGTATGTGCTCTGAAACAGATCTTTCCTATTCTAAATTATAATCTCTGGTTTGCGTTTAAGGGCACACATGTAATTCCTGCAGCTTTCCTGTCCGTGTGTGTTGTGTGTATGTCTGGTGACCTTTACAAGTATTTGCAGTCTTGAAATAAATATAAAATGAAACAAAATTCTGAGGAGTGGGATTAAATGATTTTAAGAGTTATAAACATTGTCAATTTATTTCTGAAGGAATGGATTTTTTTAAACTTTCTTCTGCTTTTTAATGGAGAGAAAAGTGTAACTAGGGAAACACCCTATGTTGGAGGCTTAAGGAAGTTGTTATGAAAGTCTGTGTTAGCCACTTCGTGTCGTGTAGGTGCAGAAGGTAGGAAATTGCAGAGCTGGAAAGAGCCCTTTTAGTTTTCTAGGACAGGTGCACTGAAGCTTTTTTCATCTTGCCCAACTTCTGTGGCAAGGGTTCTTTGTGATTCTGACCATATTAATTACCCAGTGGGCAAATCTATTAAAGAACAGCAGTAAGACTTTATAACTATTTCATGGATATAGCAGTATTCTGTCTTAATTCTAACATGCTGTTTTTTCCCTTCTTTTAGATTCTGTTTGGGTTCCAGTTGTTACCATTCTGCTTTTTCTAGTACTTATTCTGGCATTTGTATATTGTTACACTAAGAAGATGAATCCATGTAAGAAGGAAAGCATCATGTTACCCAAGTCCTTGGTAACATATTTTAATATTTTTCTTTAATTATATATACTAAAGCATTTATTTGGACTCTTTTGATAATTTTCTTAATTTTTTTAAAGTAGAATGACGTTCAGCAGCATGTCATCTGTCATAGATTGGTTGATCTACCACACATCCAAACCCACATAATTTTTACTACACAGCATGTACTTTTTATGCATAGAACAAGAGCATAATTGGATAAGTCTGTTAAGGAGCTTAAAGTTTAGTGGGAGAAGAAGATCAGTATTCAATGGGTGTACCGTGTTCAAACATAAAGGTTTTCATCTGTGCCAGTGAGGACTTTGCCCACCATTGGAGGGTGGGATTTCATTGTGGCCCTTCCAGAGACAGTGATACTGGAGCATCTTGAGGGACAGACATTTATCAAGGTATTAAGGGACAGTCTGTGCTAAACCCCAGCATCAAGAAAGTGTGGCTTTTGAAAATCCTAAAATACAGAAGCACCATTATGGTTGGAGTGTAGAAGGAAAGATGGCCACAAGTGAGACCAGAAGTTTGATGTTTTTTAAAAAGATTTATTTATGTATTTGAGAGGGAGATAGCATGAGCAGGGGCTGGGGGAGAGAAATCCTCAAGCAGATTCTCCACTGAATGTGGAGCCTGATGCTGGGCTTAGTCTCAGGACCCCAAAATCATGACCTGATCAAAATCAAGAGTTGGATGCTTAACTGACTGAGTCACCCAGGCACCCCAGAAGCTTGACCTTTTAATGTCTAACATCTAAAAGCCTTTGTATGATGAAAAGAACATCTCCAGCTAATAGAATGGTAATTATTTGAATCAAATAGGACAGGAATAATATCTATATCATGTAAAGGACACATTTCAATTTGTTTTGAAAACACTACCTTAATGTAAAGTGAGTAAGAACTATCAGTAGTAGGTAACTCATGTATGAATTGTAGTATTTGTGCTTACTAATTAAGAATAAGTAAGTAGGTAAGCACAAACCAACCTTGCAGTATGCAGTTTTATACCCACTAGAGAAGGAAAAATGAACCTGAATATCCAGTAGTATCAGTAGTAGTCAAATTGGTGTATACTGGTAAAAGTAATTCAGCTCTGGTGGGAAGGTAAACATGTAATGGGTATAATGTGTAGTAGTGCCATAAATAGTGCAACAGCCTTTGACTTAGTAATCCTACTTTTAAGAATTTATTCTTTAAAAAAAAATTCCTAAATGAAAAGATATGTAAAGATATTCACTTCAACATGTTCTAGAAATAGTAAAAATTAGAAACACTTCAATATGCACTGTTAGAGAAATTACTTTGATCATCAGTATAAAATTGTATGAGGCAGTGAAAATTCTAATAAAAATTATAATTATGAAGGCAAATGGTGAAATGTTATATAAGTAGGTGTACTCCCATTACAAATGTGACGTGCATACACATGTGGAGGTGATGGAGAAAAAGGAACACATATAGTTAGATGATGGATGGCTTTTTAAAAATTCTAAAAAAAACCCTGCTCTTAATATAGTATATTTTCATTAAAAAGCAAGAAAAGACAACCACCAGATGCTGTTACATTGTTACCGTAAATCTGCCATTTAGTGGTATATTTCATTGCCCATTAATTACCTCTAGACAGTATCTTTTTAAGGATATGCACTTAAGTTTAATAATTTATTATTTTTAATCTTTGGTTTCTCTTCCCTTAGCTGTCTGTGGTAAAAAATGCCTCTTCAGAGGCAAGGTCTGAACCAAAATGTGTATCACCCATCACCTACCAGCCAATTGTCCCAGAAAATGAGAAGATGGTCTGGGAAGACCAGTTGTCTCCAGCCACAATTGTAAGTATGCCCACTGAAGACAGCCTAGGAAAAACAGAACACCGAGAAGATGTTTCCAGTGAAATCGAAGTGGTCACTGCTGAAGAAAATAATCCTGACACAGCTCCTGGTAGCCCTCTGACCCCAGGAATGGGAGAGAGTTCTGTCCATTCAAATAGTAACCAGTCTGAACCCTGTGTCGTCGCCTTAAACTCCTATCACTCCAGAAATGGTTCCGATAGTGGCGTTGTGGAATCCGACAGCTTCTTATCTGACTCAGAATTTCCCCCAAATAATAAAACTGAAATAAAGACTGAAGGACAGGAGTCCGTAGTGCTGAGAAACACTACCACCTCCTTTGGTTACGATAAGCCGCATGTGTTAGTGGATCTGCTTGTGGATGAAGGTGGTAAGGAGTCCTTGATTGGTTATAGACCGACGGCAGATTCCAAAGAGTTTTCCTAATCAACGAAGATGTGCCAACTTTGAAGGATCGGCTTTTCCCATACAGGTTTTCCGCTTTGATTTCCTGAAAGATCACCTTTCAGAAATTTTATCTTTATCAATATTGACCAAAGAAGAATATCTGGGTTTACATAAAGTGCCAAGAGCCTCTTTGGCACTGTTATATTTGGTCTGAAAACTGCAGAGGCTTTGGAAAAAAATAACAAAAACAAAAACAAAACATTGTCGCAGTTGGAATTTTCTATCTAGGTGGGCCGTTAGTGAAAACTCTAAGAACCCTGCTTCCTATGATAGTAGGTGAGATAGCCTAGGATCCTTTCCAATCACTTCCAAGATCTAGAATAGATTTTTTTTCTTTTCTGTACCTCAGCATATTTGTTTTTGGAAGTCTATGTATATAGTGTATGTATTTGTGTATATATATAAATATATATATATTTTTTTAATAGGGCATGAGAGCAAGAGTAAGGGGTGATGAGAAGTAGAGGGAGAGCAGGAGAATCTTAGGCAGGGTCCACACCCAGCACAGAATCTGATGCAGGGCTTGATCCCATGACCCTGAAGCTGAAGTCAAGAGTCAGATGCTTAACAGACTGAGCCATCCAGGCGCCCCTATGTATATAGTATTTTTTTATATATATAGTATTTTTAAAGGCTCACTTTCAGAAGAAATCCTGAAAGCTTCCCCAAATTGAATTTAAATTCTAATTCAAATCAATACACTTAATAAAGAATATGTAAATAGAAACATGTATGTTTTTTTATGGAACATTGCATGTGGAGACTTATAAATAAAGTATTTTTAAAATTCATTTTGTACTCATTTATTCAAGCACTCAGGCAGTTAACCTAGTATTTTTTTATCCATTTGTTCGCTTCCATGCATTAAGACTATAAAATTATTTTCTAATTATTCATATTTAGTCTTTAAAACAGTCCTAAAAATAATGTAATGTTTAAAAATGGTCCTTTTATGTCTGTATTTTAATACTTAGCCCTGTATAAAACACTGTTCCAGGCTGTTTGGGAAGGGGGAAAAAGCAGATTTTTCTGGAGAGCATGAGGATTGAGGGGTCCTCTAGCATAAAGACAGTGGTCAAAGCCATTGGAGTAGGTGGAGAAGCATATGTGAAGAGAGAGTTCCCCAAAGAGAGGCAAGCCAAGAGTTAATTTGTATATTACACAAGGAATTCTTGGGAATTACAAAGAGGATAGTAATTTAAAGATTCAAATGAATTAATTGACCAAAAAAATTTTTTTAAAACATAACTTCTGTGAGTAAGTTAACCAGGGAGAAACATTTCCCTTCACTTAAAAGTACAGATTAAAATGAGGTGCTGCATTATTCTATTAGTGGGGAAAAAATGTTGTAGTAAATACTAGTGAGATTTTGGTAAAACTAGTATACTCACTTATTTGGGGAACAGTGTCTTTACAGCTTTTTTAACTAATATATGAGTATATATATTCCATAAAAATACATATCCTTTTCAGAATTTAATCTATTGTATCAAAATTATAAAAAATAAATCTTTAAGACAAAAGCGTACGAGTTAGAAAAGGAAAAAGCAAAAATATGAGAAAAATTGAAATAGACAAGTTACTGCTTTCCAAAAGGATTGCGCTAATAATAGACATTATAGCCACATGTGTACATGGTTTTCGTGCCCTAGCTAATTAGGATAATAGTTGTTTTAATTTCTACCAGCTGTATAGGTAGCCATTTTAATACTTCTGTTTGCATTTCTTTAATAATTAGTAAAGTTGAGCATGTTTTATGTGTTAGGTATTTAGACTTAAGAGATTGCCTAATCTTTGTGCATTTCTTTGGGGGCTGTTTATTTTTTTTTATTGACTGTATCCTTTGTCTGCTGTGAGTTACACATTTATTTTATAATTTCTTATCTCTTACCCTGCATGTGTTTAAAATGTTTATAAAGTCCAATTTATTCATCTTTCCCTTCCATTTTAAAGAAACTCCCTAGAAAATACAAACTTCTACCCACATTTTCTTATGTTATTTGGGGATCATTATTTATTTCATTTCTACACTGAATTCTTCTATCCCTCTAGATTTTTTCTTTTTGTGCAAGTGGGAAAGTAGGAATCCAGCTTTATTATTTTGGTTTCTAGAGCTGCCATAAAATAGCACAAACTCGGATGGCTTAAAACAATGGAAATATGTACCCTCACCATTCTGAGGCAGGGCCACATTATATTGGAAAGCTCTAGACGGATCCTTCTTCGCCTATTCCTAGCCTCCAGTGGTAACTGGCAACTCTCAGCTTTCCTTGAATTTTAGCTGTGTCATTCCAGCCTCAGATTCTTGTAACATGGTGTTCTCTCCTGTGTGTCTCTATCCAAATCTTTTGTCTCCATAAAGACACTGGTCTTTGCATTGGAGCCCAAACCTGAAGTCTAATTCAATATGACCTCATCTTAATTTAATTAGATCTGCAAAGACACTATTTCCAAATAAGATCACATTCTTAGGTAGCAGGGGTGAGGACTTTATATATTCTTGGAGGATACAATTCAACTCATATTTACCATGACAAATTAGCTGCCCTAGTACAAATAAATCATCTAAATTCTTTGCTGATTTCAAAAATCACATGTATCATGCCAAATTCTCAGTACTTCTGCGACTTCCATTGTTTTTTCTTCTATTTACAGCCTATTATTTATTTATCTATCTTTCTTTTTTAATCCCTTTCTTTTTTTAAAGATTTTATTTTTAAGAAATCTCTACACCCAGCAGGGGGCTCGAACTTAGAATCCTGAGATCAACAGTTGCACACTGTCAGCCAACCAGCCAGGTGGCCCTGTGTCCACTGTTTTAATTGTTAGAGCTTTATACTGGAATATTTTAACTTCCGAGACCCTTCTTAGTACTTTAGGTCATTGCTTGTTGGTCATATTTCTCCTCAACAATTGTTCTTCGAGGTGAACTGTAAGAATGTTCACCAAGTTTTCCCCCAAGTTTTGAAGGCTTTTGAGAGTTGTATTGGCATTGCATTGGCCCTGTACAAAGTTTAGGAATATCTTACATTTTACAAAGTTGAATGTTCTACAAGAATGGGGAATATTTCTGTTTTCAAGTCTTATATCCCTCATGAGAGTGGTAGAGGGAGGGCATTTCTTACCAAGTTTATTACTTGATATTTGACGTTACGGTTTCTAAATGGCTGTTTGTAAAAAGCAAAAACTAGAAGCTATTGTTACAGATTATTTTTTATAAAGCCAACATCTAAACTTCTTTCTTTTGAGTTTTCAGTTGGTTGGCTGTGCCAGTATGCAACTATCTCATCTATAAACAAGGATATATTGCCTTGCTGCTAATATTGTACTTTGTATTTTATTCCCGTGTCTTCAAACTTTGATGAATTGGGAGGGTCTATTTCCCTAGGGCAATATACCTACTAAATTTTAGGTCAAAAGCTGCTGCTGAATGTGAGTAAATTACTTAGCCTCGTGAGAGTTGAATTAAATTCCACCTTTTGGCTCCAAGAGTAATTTTCCACTTAGGTTAACCCATAAAGGGATCTTCTTCCTGACACAGTTCTGCTTCTTAAATTAATTTTTCTCCTAAATTATTACTGGTTAGCCAACACTCATTGCATCATTTCATGCCAAGTTAAAGTGTCTAAGATTACTGGCTGTGTCCCATTAAGATACTGGTATTTATACCTGAGAAGTGTATGAAAGGATGTCTTAGATCACGAATTCCACTTTTATAGGGTGATTAAGTAGCTTCATTTATGAGGTGAGATACTTGCTCTACATTTCTCCTTCTCTGCCTCTAGATTCTGGAATTGGACTCTTGCCCACTTTAAACTAGAACTGCTAATCAAGAATGAAGGGAGGAATGAATGAATGAACAAAGAACAAATGTGTTATTATTGAACTGCTTGTAAAAATACCCCACCTCATTTCATTTTACAGCACCTTGTGAGGAGGAATTGCTGTCCCCATTTAAAATGAGAAAGCATTACAGCACGGTTAGTGACACACCCAGTGACTGGTGAGGTAAAAGATTCTGTCTCCCATGCTTTTTCCAGTAAATCTCAGCTGCCTGCTAGTGGTTGTTGCAAGCTTGGTGGTAAAGAGATTTTAGAGTTGGGGATGTTTTCTGGGATGCTTAAGCTGTGTTAAGAGACAATAAAAGAAGACTCATTAAAAACCAAAGGGCGGAGAAGGAATTAAGCAGCTAGGGGAAAAGCAAGTCAGAAATAGACGTCTGGGGCACCTGGGTGGCTCAGTGGGTTAAAGCCTCTGCCTTCGGCTCAGGTCATGATCCCAGGGTCCTGGGATCGAGTCCCACATCCGGCTCTCCGCTCAGCAGGGAGCCTGCTTCCTCCTCTCTCTCTCTCTGCCTACTTGTGATCTCTGTCAAATAAATAAAATCTTTAAAAAAAAAAAAAGAAATAGACGTCTGATGACTTACGTGTGCCAACGAGGTTGTAAAATGGTGGCCAGCTTGCACTGAGTTCCCCACGAAAGAATAATGCTTCAGTGTGTGGGTTGCTTTGAGAGTCTCTAGAAGCCTCCGTAACTAGGAGCTGAGGCATAAACAACTCCTACTGGCTGAGTCCTCACTGTGTACCGGGCACTCTGCCTAGGACTTCACTTGCACACTTCATTGCTAAAATCCCATGTTACCCGTGTTTATAAGTGAAGAGACTAAGGCTTGGAGAGGAAGAGGAACCTCCTTGTCACATAACTAATCCCACACAAAGCCATTTCTTTCAGAATAAGGAGTGTGAGCATGAGATTGCCAGACGAGAGTCTCCAGGAAGGAGAGGGAATCTAGAACCCCACTGAGGAGAGGGTTGAATGGCCCTTCTCTCCTGCTGGGAAGAGGCCACAAATGGCATGGTACCCACAGTGGGCAGGGTGAAGTGTGTGGGCCTGAGCAACAGGCATCCCTGACACTAACCCGGCCTGACTTAGAAAGGCACTCTAAATTCAAATCTCAGACATGGATCAATTTCAAATGAGGATTTGGTCTAAGAAACGTCTTCTTTTGGTCAATGTTTTTTTACCTACTGAGAGCCAGGCCTGCACCGGTAGCCCCTAGTCTCAAGTGTGTGTTGGGGAGAGGTTGGCTAAGATCTGGGGCTCTGAAGTCAGACACTTGTGTTAGAGCCCCAGCTCTGCTATTCATCAAGTGGTTTGGAGCAAGTCACTCGGTTTCA